GAAGATCAGATTGCAAATAGGCAGCAATGGGGTGGGCTTCCACAGGGTATTTCTCCTGAGTGTATGGGGTACTTCTCGCCTTATACAAGGAGTAAGGTAGAAGCGCCACCCAGTCACCATGTTTCCAGAGTTAATTTAGTCAAAGCCTCCTTTAGGGTCCGATTCATCCCTTCTACCTGGCCTGACCTACTGCGTGCGAGGAGCAAAATATCAAACTATGAAATATTTAACTTAGGAGCTTTGATAGATCAAATTGTGCCTGACCTGTAAGGCTATGGACCCTCTGAACACTAGCCAGGGAACTTCAGCGACTAGAGCAGCGGCTACAGTAAGAGGTCAACAGCCTGAAGCCATTTGGGAGACAGACAACACCGAGGTGAAACCCAGAATGTGTAGATATAAGTATTTGGTAGTTTTTGTAGATACCTTTTCAGGATGGGTAGAAGCCTACCCCACCAAGAAAGAAACCGCTAATTTCATGCCTAAAAAAATTATGGAGAAAATCACTCCCAGGTATGGCCTACCCACCCTACTTGGGTCCAACAACAGACCAGCTTTCATCTCCCAGGTAACTGTCTCTCATACAAATTCTGGGGACTAATTGGAAACTACATTGTGCAAAGTTCAGGCCAAATAGAAAGGATGAATTGGACTCTAAAGGAGGCTTTGACTAAATTAACTCTGGAAATTTGCAGTGAATAGGTGGCTCTTCTACCTTATGCATTCAATAAGACCAAAAATACCCCATATACTCTGGTTCTTACCCCTTTTGAGATAACACTATGGAAGACCACTCCGTTATTGTCTAATTTGCAATCTGATCTTCTAGCTCTATGTGACCAATATAAGTTTCTGGAATCCCTGCAGGCCCTCCATGGGATCCAGAAATACCTCTGGCCAGATACACACCAAATCAATGAGTCTACAGCCCCTCCTAATACACATTGCTTTGAACCAGGTGATGAAGTCTGGATGAAAAGACATAATCACAAGAGCCTTGAACCATGCTGGAAGGGACCACACATAGTAACGCTAACAACACCAACAGCTATGAAAGTGGACAGCATCTGAACTTGGATACATCACTCCCACATCAAACTGGCAGGATGAGAGACCACTCAGGAATTAGACCTATGTCTGCAGAGACTTCCAGACTGCACCCCACCACACACATGGAGGATCCAACGACACCCTCGGACCCATTAAAATTAAAAACGCTACAAGTCCTGATTCTAATTCTAGTCATCAATATCACCCAGGCCAATTCCAATGCCCATGAACCCTATAATTTAACTTGGGTAATAACTAACATGGTTACTGGAAAGACTGCCAATTCAACTACTTATCTAGCACCCCAGGTACACGGTTCCCAGACTGCCACACAGACCTCTACAATTTGGTAGATGAGGGCTGGGATCCTTCTGATGAAATAGCCTTTCCGGGCTATGGTTGCAAGACATGTGGGGCATGGAGAGACACCAGGACCCAAGCATTCTCTGTCTGCCCAGGATGCTCCTGAGATCGAGATCAACGGACCAAATGTGGAGGACCAAAATAATGTTTTTGTCCTGCATGTGGCTGTGAATCTACTGGATGAACATCCTTGGAACCAACCATTAAGAATGATCTCATCAGAAACTAATCAAGAGAGAGGACCCTGACTAAAACGCTCAATCCCCATCCCGAAAGGCAAAGAGGATGGACATCAGAAGAAGAAAAAAGGAAACAACCTAGGAACCTGCCACAGAGGGCCTCTGAAAGGCACTGCCCTGCAGACTATCAAAGCAGATGCTGAGACTTATGGCCATCTGTTGGGCAGAGTGCATGGAATCTTATGTAAGAAGTGGGAAATAGTAAGATCTGGAGAGGACAGGAACCCCACAAGGAGAGCAACAGAACCAGAAAATTTGAACACAGGGGTCTTCCCAGAGACTCATACTCCAACCAAGTACCAGGCATGGAGATAACCTAGAACCCCTGCACAGATGTAGCCCATGGCAGTTTAGTGTCCAAGTGGGTTCCATAGTAATTTGAAGAGGGACTGCCTCTGACATAATCTAATTGGCCTTCTCTTTGATCACCTCCCCCTGAGGGAGGAGCAGCCTTACCAGGCCACAGAAGATGACAATGCAGCCACTCCTGATGTGATCTGATAGACTAAGATCAGAAGGAAGGAGAGGAGGACCTCCCCTATCAGTGGACTTGGAAGGGGCATTCATGAAGAAGGGGGAGGGAAGGTGGGACTGGGAAGGGAGGAGGGAGGGGCTTATGGGGGGATACAAAGTGAATAAAGTATAATTAATAAAATCAAAAACAAAAAAAGAATGATCTCATCATGGTAGCAAGATAGGAGGACACCAAAACCCCAGGAATAGGGTCTTGCAGGGTCACCAGAAGACCATTAAGGGAAGACTGTGGCCCTGTCTTCTGGCCCCCTCCACATACTGTTGGGGGACGCTGCAACACCTGATTATCAAACATATAGATGCTGGTAAAAAGGCTGACTTGACTAATGGTGAGTCACGGGGACTAAGAGTCTGTATCACTGGCTATGACCCTGAACTTATGTTCTCTATCCAACTCATTAGCCAGAGGCTTCCAGGAATAATTGGGATACCAGTGGGACCCAATCCCATCCTACCCAAATCCCCTATCCTTTACCAGAGCAACCAAAACCCTTGTTCCTCCCTTGACCCTGGCAGGTGTCAACACCTCCACCTACTCATTAAGCCTCAGCAAAGATAGGGACCAGGGGAGCTGATAAAAGCCACCTACCAGATTCTAAACAAGTTTAGGCCTGAACTGACTGATCGCTGCTGGCTACGTCTGGATGCCCAGGTGCCCTACTATGAAGGTGCAGCAATCATGACAAACTATAGCGTAACAAATGTCTTGACTTGTAGATGCCCACACTCAGGGATGGGATGCGTAACCCTGGAACCGGTCCAAGAACAAGGAATCTGTATCTCCTATCAGGGTAGGCTTCCCCCATCCCATCGACATTTATGAAACCAAACCTTTGTGCTATCAAACTAGGATCCCTACATGCTGTTGCCAGAGGACTCCCGGTCTGCCTGCTCTACTGGCCTAACCCCTTGCAATCTATACCACTGCCCTGAACCAAACCAAGGGCTACTGTGTTCCCGCGTAACTGGTTCCCTGGGTCTTACATTACTCTGATGATCAAATGAATTTAAACCTCTCTTCCCTGCCATCTTGTAGGTAACTGTCGCTGCCACCCTGCTGCCCACCCTGTTGGAATTGGGAATAGCAGGGACCACAGGGATGAGTGCTGCTGCATTAGTCCTTTAGAATAAAAATTACAGAGCCCCGCGCTTAGCTACAGAGGCAGACTTGTCAGACCTGAAACAATTGCTCAATGAGAAATTCCCCTTACCTAGCTTGCTGAAATAGGTCTCTCAAACTGGAGAGGCCTGGACCTCCTCTTTTTACAAGAACTCTGCATGGTCTTAGGAGAGCAAAGTTGCTTTTATGTTAACCATTCAGGGGTCATCAAAGAAACCTTATCCCATGTCAGAAAAAGATTACAAGATAGAGATGAGAGTCTCAATGTTGATATCAATTGGTAATCAATCGGTCTCCATTGTTAACAACTCTAATTTCTATGCTGGCTGGGCCCTTAGTTCTACTCCTGTTAGCCCTCCTCTTCAGACCCTGCATGATTAATGCCTTAGTCAAATCTGTGAAGAAATGAATCTCCACTGTTCAACTCATGATCTTAAAATGGACCCCACTGAAGGATGTAAGATGGAAGCTAACTCAAGAGGTGAGTGATACACCCTGACTCCATTTTACGCCTAGACCACCATGTTAGGTCTAAGTTTGTTTCCCAGAAGAGGTTTTTCTCGGGAAAACCTATTAGAACCGGCCCCGACATCTGGCCTTGAGCAGAAATAGTTATGAAATAACAGGTTTGAAAAGTCCTTGCCCCTATCTGGCCTTGAGGAGAAACAACAGGTTTGGAAAGTCTCCAAGGCCCTAGACAAGCCAGGATACCCCTGCACCTCTAGCCTGATCTCCCACTAATCAAATAATAGATTACCTAACTTTGCCTGAAATTCTAACTGGCTTTTAAAGGAGGCTGTGAGCTCACTTCAGGGTCGCCATTTTTGCCTAAATGGTGGACCTCCACATGCCGGATTTTGCTGCAAGAATAAATGCCTTTTGTTCTTGAATACTGGGGTATTCTTTCAATGAATTTCAGGCCCTCACAGAAAGGTTTTGTCTGTAAAAGCTTCCCTCCCCTTTTAGGCTGGGCCACAATCTCTTATTCTGATCTGGTGGGTGCAGTCAGCCGGACAGCTTAATAAAACTGAGCTACTTGAATTTAACTGAGTCTGAGTGACCGGTCTCTTTCCCAGTTGTCTCCAACTCTCGTTCTCTGTAACACCGTAACACAGCAGTGCCAAGGAGCGGATGGGTGAAGCACATAAAATGGAGTCAGCTTTAAACAAAATAGGTTACCTTGGTTAGCTCACCATCCTCTCCCTCTGGCCTTTGAGGGATGGGCAAACTCTCACTTGGTGCCCTCATTACAACTGCTTGCATACCATGCTTCTTCCCTGATCCCTAAGGGAAGAAGCTCGCTGTGACCATATTCCAGGAAAAAGTGGGTACCAATCCCGAGGAAGGTAGTCACGGGAACAAAGGAAGGTGTCTCCTGGGAAAGGCAGTGGACACACAACCTCGGCGTCCCTGCTCAAGCTACTTGTGAATATAGAAACTAAGAGTGGGCGGTGCCGGCCAGACCGACCGCGGCCCCTTGTGTTGGAAACCGACACCTCCTACACTCCCTGGATTGGCGGCGGGGAAAGCCTGGCTGACTACGGCACCGCTGAGCGCAGGCGCACAGGCAAGGGTGAGCGTGTGGGCTGCGGGCGCTGCCAGTGCGCAGGCGCAGAAGATCCACGGCGGCCTACGCGCCCCAGTGAGGACTCAGGACGCAGGCGCAGGAGCCTCCCCACTGAGGGCACGCGTGTCAAGGCTGCACACAGGTGCGGTTCCTGATCGGAGACCCAAAGGCGAGCAGTGGGTTTCCGGTTCCGGGAGCAACCAACGGCCGCAGAAGCAACAACTACTGTTTTGGCGGAGGTTGCGGTGGAGGAGGAAGAAGAGAGTGGACCAGGCGGGCCGCGCAAACAGGATCCTCCCCATGGGTCCACGGGCGTAGGGCGCAGGAAGCTGCGGGCCTAGTGTCAAGCTGGTGAGACAGCCTTGGGAGTGGATGTGCAGGGAGCTCAGGAGGAGGCTGGCGAGGAACTGAGGCCCCAAACGCTAGCGGGGAGACACGAAGGGCCTTCTGGCCAGCAGGAGGAATGGCGTCTTGTGAATATTGAAAGAGAGCACTGGTGGAGCTGGACAGAAAGAACGGAAGGGGAGGAATGTAAAGCTGGCTGATGACAGCAGTGTCGAGACTCTGGGACTAGTATGGAGAGGAATAGAAGAGATCAGAACGTTCAGACAGTCATCGGGTCTCCCGTGTTAAGAGGATAGAAAAGGGGTTCCAAAGCTATAACGAGAGGATAGGGTCCCGAGGCAGGTAACAGGAGTAATAGCAGGGTTAGGATAACGAGGGAGTAGGGACTCTTGGAGGACGAAAAGTGGCCTCGTCCTAGAACGAGGCAGCTCAGTATGTGGAGGAACCAGGAAATTCCACAGGATGATAAGAGAAAAGGAGACTGATGAAGTTAACAAAGTTAACGGGGAAGAGTAGCTTCTACTGGCTGTAGGGGTGAGAAATAGAGGCATTTGAGGCAGAGATTGGAGAGGAACCATGGGTCAGAATAACGAGGGAGAATAAGCTTTGGAGAGAGCTCTTGGGTTTAAGGGGAGACAAAAGCTTCCAGGCTGAGGAATGGAAAGAACGAGGGGAATGTTTGGTCCCAATGTGGAGGAATGGGGGGCTCTGACATACGTAAATGCAGCTAGAACACTGAAAGGCATTGGAAACTCAGGCCAAGAAAAGTTTAAATGGGTGATTAGAACACTGAAGTAGAGGACCGAGGACAAGAGAAATAGGGACCTCGTAGACAAAATAGGAGGAATGAGTCTTCTCAGACTGAGGATGGGTAATATGCATGTTTGGAGGATGACAGAGGAGGGATGGGGCTGTTAGGTCTAACACAGAGAGTATTTCCTGTAACAGGGACATACGTGTGTAGTGACAATTCTGGAATTTTGGCTTCCTTAAAAAACACAGTAAGATAATGTTTTCATTTTAATGCCAGGTGTGGGGATATAGAGCTGCTTCAGACTGTGTGCGGCAACTGACCAATTTGCTAAGTTTTGCCACCTGCAAGTAGTTTTTGCAATTGTATGACATTTGGAATTCTGGGAACTTCCCAGATGATCTAGAAATGGGAGGCCCCGAGAGGTGGCGTCAGGGGTTGTTGGTTGTTCAGGGGGGGTTGGTTACAGTTTGTTAGTAGTTGAGCTCAAAGAAGAAATAAGAAATTAGATTCAAGGATCTCCCTTTCCCCTTCTCCCTCGCTCTCCTTCTCTCCTCTCCTATCTAGTGATAGGGGGGCGAGATAGTGTGGGCAGCATAAAGGATGGGAAAAAGAACCCACAAAGTAGCGAAAACCAGCTACATACTTGTGCTGGTCTAGGGTAAGTATTAGAGGAAATACGTGACTTTTGTGGCCTGGAAACAGTTTGCTACTCTCTTCCATACTCTACCTTGTTGTTTTTGGTTTTGTTTGTTTCGTTGTTTTTATCAAAATCTCAATCATTCCATTTTAACCAATTAAGACTCAGGAGCCAGATGCTGGGGTGAAAGCCTGCTAGCTCAGAGAGGCAGAGAAAGTACCCAGCTGACCATCCTTCTCAGCCAGTGTCTGAGAAGGAATGTCTCCTCTCCAATGGGTCTCAAAACCCCCTTAAAACTGATTGTCCCTCCCTTCTACTTTCTGTGGATCTCTACCTCTCCTCTGACATCCTAGTTCAATGTTTTGGTTTTTTTTTTCTTAAAAACATCTTAATAATTCTACATTCACTTCCTGTCAACTGGTTGCTGCTCTGCCTCCTGACCTATGGTTGACTTTATTAATCCTGTTTACAATATTCAAGCAGAAAGCTCTTGAATTAAGGGTGTGTGCTAGGGCTGAGCCACACCACAATTAAAAACAGGTTTTTGGTTTTTTTTTTTTTTTTTCTAGTAAACACAGTCTCAGCATTCACAATGTGATCCAATATCCTGCAACACTACCTTCTTCCAATCTTGCAGGCTTCTGTTCTTCCCTGAAGCATCAATGGCTGAGGACTGGCGGGATTGCCCAGCCCTGGGCCCTGGCTGGAAACGCCGTGAGTCCTTTCGCAAGTCAGGGGCCTCTTGTGGACGCTCAGACATCTATTATCAGAGGTAATGGGTGGCTTGTGGACAGTGTTCAGTAGAGTTGGACTTCGCTAGTAATTGAACAGGTGTGTTTAAATCTATGGATCGAGTTAAAATTGTACACATAGTTCTTAGTAAAAGTTTTGTGTTTTCATAATCACCTATTCTTAATAAAGTTTATTTGATCCAAGTCAATATTCACAGTGCATTTGTGATTATTCACAGACACATGGAATAGCTAAAAATTTGAATTGTCTAGAGCATGTATTCTGAATCAGAGTTGAACAAGAACTTTGTTTTTGATTTGTTCTTTCTTTTTCTTTTTCTTTTTTTTTTGTACTGTAAACTGATCATCTTTTCCATGATCTATTTAGTGCCATATTTTTGTTGGCAAATTTATTGTTTAAAATGACTCCCAGATAAAGTGCTGAAGTGTTTTCTAGTGTTCTGAATACAAGAAGACAGTCATGTGCCTTTTCTCCTGTCAGATAAGCTTCTTCCAGGCATGAATTGCAGTGCTATCCGCTTGAGTTACAATGTTAAAAATCAGGAATGGTGCATCAGGAAGAGAGGAGATGTGTGTGAGGCTGCTGTGGGAAGAACAAAAATTAACATCCATAGTAATTGCTGACGCTTCAGAGAAGTTGGAACAGCAGCTCAATGTATGGAGCCATGAACATCAGTAAGCATAGTGAGCAGAATTGTTGTGAAGAAAACCAAAGACAGCAGCGAGTGTTAGGACAATGTAAACCATTTCAGCTGTTGCTGGCCAATTTGCATGTTTCAGAAGGTGATATGGTATGAAAACATTACTTCTACTTCTATACATCAGGTATCTTCAGAAAAACACAAAACACTGGCAGAACACCTAGACAAAACATCCTCTAAATTCATGGCCCTTAATCATCAACCAGTCTTGGAGCCATTTATAAGAAACAAATGTTATGGTGTTTTTAAGCAGAAACACATAAAATAAGGCTATGTATTGATCAACTGCTGAAAATGTTGGGCTTGCTGGAACCTACCCCTGTATCTTCTGTAGGAACAGTGGTTCTTCTTCAAGAATTCAGGGTTGTTGGCAATTTCATAATGCATAGTTATCTCTAATGAGAATTGACTGTAAATGCATCAACACTGAAGTTTATAAGCTTATGTTAGAATGTATTAGTGATGTAGCTATTAAAATGTTTACAGTCTTCCTGTTTTAAGTTGCCATTTCCTTAGAAGAATATAATAAAATTTCAGATATATTTCATTATGTTTGTAAATTTTTTCACTATGAGATTGTAGAAATATTTCAAAACTTACAAGTAATTGATATATATACTAATACATGTATATCAGAATAGTTAATTGATTTTGTTAGTTTTGTGGATGCTGGTAGGAAATGTGATACTTCTGGACCAAAGATAAAAGTTTCTCATATTAAGTGCCAAACCCAGAATGCCATGTTTTTGACATTTCTCTGCATCCCAGTTCCCGTAGGATGACACGAAGAGGGCTAAGTAGCGAATGTACTGCACTGGTAGGAACGGCCGTCTGTCTGAGCTTGCATGATCAAGGGTCGGTGCAAGGGTGCTGCCCTTTACTTTGGAAGGGAACCTTTTCTAAAGTTACTTGTTTTTACAAGGAGTAGATAGTTTGTTTCAAAAAACAGTGAATGCCTTTCACAATTGATGCCGAACTGAGGAGACCTGGAGTTTTGCCCCTCAACCTTAACTGCTTATACCTTGTATTGCATATAATTTCATTTTCATGTTTTAAATATTTTGTTACAAGCTTTAATGATTATTCATTTCCTTTGCAATACATAACTTTTAAATATCGGGTGCTTATCTAGTGGGCATGTAGTGATTTCCAGCCCTGCATAAACTAAGCTTGGTGGTATACTCCTGAGATCCTAGCGCTTGGCAGGATAGAGGCAGGAGGATCGGAAGGTCTTGCTCATCTTTCTTTACATAGAGAGTTTCAAAGCCCCTTGGTTAAAACAAGAGCTCCGTCTCAAACCAAAATCAAATGGCTGTAGTTTTTGCTGAAATTTACTCATATGTATTTAACAGTAGTGGTGTTGCATGGTGTAAGTATGTTTCTGTATCTTTATTCATTTACTTATTTTTGAGACAGTGTTTCTAGCCCTGGAGCTTGCTCTGTATACCAGCCTGTCCTTGAACTCACAGAGTTCCATCCACCTGCCTCTGCCTCATAAGTGCTGGGATTGAAGGCATATGCCTCTATGTCCAGCCTGTTTATGTGTCTATATACAGTTGCCAATAATAATACAATCTGAGAACTATGCAGTGAATGGAGTTTATTATACCACACAAACCCAGGTGGTATAATACACTATACTGTACACCTAAGCTAAATAGTCATGTAGTCTTATATTGCTTACTGGTACTGATACATTCTGAGAGACATGTTATTTAATGGTTTTTCGTGTAAAAATCATAGGTTATAAAACTAGGACATGTGTGGTGTCATTAGACAATATGATCTTATGGGACTTATATGCAGTTGGTTATTGATGGGAGGAGCATCATTGAGCACCATGTAACTGTATGTATAAACTATGGCATACTGCTCCTACGCTGAACAAAATTTAGGAGATTAAATCAAGCACAAGAGAGAAATCAAAAGAAGCAAAGGAGTAACCACTTAATTATATTAGGTTACTACTAGTCTAACATTTTGTAGTTTTACAGTATATTTTTCATAAGAACTCTAAAATAAAAAAATTGCACTAAGCCCGTAAAGCAGTAATTGTAATTATCATTAATTAAGTGTGCACTGTATATTACTGTGCTGTAGGCATTGCACTTGTTCACAGTAATGCTATTACACATGCCGAAATAATGTTTTGTATTATGGCATTGAAATTGTTACAGTGTTGTCAGATAATAGAATTTTCCACTATAATATAATTTATTATAGTATAACCATAGAATATATGATGTTATGGATCAAAATGAGGTCCACAATTGTGTTATTTATTAACATTTGTATGCATGCTGATTTTATGTTTTTATTTTGTAGTCCTGTTACTTAATCTTGGGGTAAGACTTGGGTGGGGCTCACAGGCTAACTCCAGACTGCTTCCTGCATCTCATCAGATACGTGAGGATGTTGTGTGGGAAGCGTGACATTGTCTCCATCTTGGTGCCAAGTCATTGTGGTTCATTCTCAGCCCCACAGGAGACAAGATCCGAAGCAAAGTTGAGCTGACTCGATACCTGGGCCCTGCATGTGATCTTACCCTCTTTGACTTCAGACAAGGCATCTTGTGCTATCCAGTTCCCAAGGTACTTCACAATGTCTGTGCCCAAGCAGGAGCATCTGTGTCACATGACCCCCAGATGTTAATTCTGACCCAGTCTTCCTGAATTCATTTCCAGACTCATCCCTCAGCTATCCCCAGCAAAAAGAAAAAGAAACCTTCTAAATCAGCCAAGACTAAGAAACAGCAGGTTGGGCCACAGAGGAGTGAGGTCAGGAAAGAGACTCCACGGGATGGCATTAAGGCTGCTACTGGCACAGCTCCATCTTCGTTACCTGCACCTGGGTGAGTGTTGGCTCAAAGTGAGCCAGGTGGGTAACGCGGCTTGGGTTTGGGGTTGCTTACCCCTGTCCTTTTCACTTTAGGTTCTGTGAGAATTGTGGAATCCGCTTCTCATGGGATGGCATCAGAAGGAAGAGGCTCAAGACATTGTGCAAAGACTGCCGAGGTAAGTTTTAAGTCCCTGGGGATTAGGAGACAGGCCACATGGTAGACCAGTGCTGGGCTAAGCTGGAGGCTGTATAGTACATGTTAGGGGCTTTTTGTCATATCTGGAGTCAGCCTGTGAGCCCGTCTGTAGCATAGATAGAATGGTGAACACTGGGGTTAAGGAAGTAGCTAAAGCCGTGTCTGCTGCCTTGTTCCTATTTCTCTCCATTCTTCTTCTGCCAGCACAGAGAATTGCCTTCAACCGAGAACAGAGAATGTTTAAGGTAAGAGCAGTATGTTTCCTCGAAGTCTGCAGAGGAGCAGGCTGTGATAGGAATGATGGGGAGGGCTCAGGATTGATGAGTTGGGTTTTTGTTTTTCTTACTGTTTTTTTTAAATAGGGACCTGGCTGTTGGTTTGTTGCAGATGCAGTAATGGGAATTAGTGGGGTATCAGTGGACACAGGGATGAATTTAACAGAGTGCTCGTAGAAGACATAGTAGTGGCCTTGGTGTTGGCAAGCTGGTCAGTAATTTATCAGCTATGGTAAGGAGGCTGCCAGGAGACCACTGAGTGTGCAAACATTTTGAGAGCAGCGGTCCTGGGTTTTCACCTGGGCTTTTAACCTTCCTCGTCTGTCTGACAGCGAGTTGGCTGTGGAGAGTGCACAGCCTGCCTGGTGAAAGAAGACTGTGGGGAGTGTCCCACTTGCCGCCTGCAGCTGCCTGGTGATGTGGCCTCGGGGCTCTTCTGCAAGTGTGAGCGGAGACGCTGCCTACGGATTGTGGAGAAGGTGAGTAGGGCACCTGAGGTGGGCCAAGGCTTGCCCTAGTCCCTGGCCTTCATGGCCTTGACTCCAGACGTCACACCTCCGGCCTCCCTACAGAGCCGAGGGTGTGGAATGTGTCGGGGTTGTCAGACCCAAGAGGACTGTGGCCATTGCCGAGTCTGCCTTCGCCCTCCCCGCTCTGGTCTCAAGCGCCAGTGGAGGTGTGTGCAGCGGCGCTGTTTTTGGGTGAGTCAGGGTGGAGTTACCAGTGCTGGTGGAGCCAACTATTAAGTTCACCACCACTGCTGCTGTTGCTTCCTCCCAATCTGGCTTTGCCTGCCTCATTCTTATTTTCTTTTCTGTCTCATGCTCACCTCCTTGGTTCTGCCTACCTGCCTTTCTCTGCCAGCACCTTGCTCATCGCTTCCGAGGCCACCCTCACGGATGTCAGCTGTGCCCTCCCCGGGTTGTGGTTTCCCCTGCTGTGAGTGCCTGACTGCACACTCTGCCTGACCTTTCAATGCATGCTTTCTGCAGGGGTCTGGTCTGCCTGGTGCCACAAAGCCTTACCTAGTTTTTCGGCTTTTAGGGGAAGCGGGATCGTAAAAAGAAAAGCTCAAAGGTAGCCACCCAACATCACTCCCGAGCTCAAGCTCAGCCACTGCCTCCGCTTCCTGCATCCCAGCACCCAGAACGTACAGAGCTGGTAAGGCCCTGGTGGGCAGGGGGAAGGCACAACCCTAAACTTCCTCAGGACCCGCCCTGACCCCAGCACATTTGCCTCTGCAGCACTTCAGCGACGTAGCGCCCACATCACCTGCTGAGTTCATCTATTACTGTGTAGACGAGGACGAGCTAGTGAGTGGCCCCACCTTACCTGACAAACCTAGACTCTCCTGCTGCTTCTTTAACCCCAGGGAAGCAGGTGCTGTGAGAGAACTCGCAGGGAGGAGTAGTGAGGAATAGGGTGGGATAAGCGACCATTGGGGAGAAAATGAGGAGTTAGCAGCATAGTGACAGTGCCCACTGTAGGTGGAGCACCACTGACGGCTGGTGCAGGACAAGTGGGCTGAGTGCTGACACTCACAAGGGTGCAGGTCAACCCTTGTGTAGTCGAAGTCAACACAGCTGGCCCAGTGACGCCTAGTAACAGAAGGAAGATCAGCACAGTCCTGGAGAAAGTGAGGGCCAAAGACATTGTCTCACCAGCAGGGGCTAGCATGGCACAGAGATGGTCCTGGAGCATCTTTTGAAGTGGCAGGAGCTGAGGAGAGGTAGCAGGCCGAGCCTCGTGTGGAACCAGCTCTTCTATGGGGCTGCATGAGTACCAGGCGCAGTACTGAATAGCTATTGAGGATATGGCCTCTCCTAGTCTTAGTGACAGCACCACTGTTCCCCTCCACCCCAGCAGCCCGACACGAACCACCGGCAGAACCGCAAGTGCGGGGCCTGTGCAGCCTGCCTACGGCGGATGGACTGTGGCCACTGCGACTTCTGCTGTGACAAGCCCAAATTCGGGGGCAGCAACCAGAAGCGCCAGAAGTGTCGATGGCGCCAGTGCCTGCAGTTTGCCATGGTGGGTGGGGCAGGAAGGGTTAGGTGGATGGGCTAGGCTGGGCCCCGCCCACCCCTACCCCTTGATTGGGAGTGGTGGGCAGGCCCGGTAGGTAGGTGGGTGGGTTTATAGTGATTCTAGTTGAGGATTAGCAGACACTGTGCTGGGGTGAATGAGTCCAGCTGGTACTGCCATTGCTAGCAGGAGAGTGATAGGTTCAGTGGTGAGAGCTCATGTCAGCTGCAGGTTCTGTGCCAGGTCTGATGGGAAGGCACATTGAGTAGGGCAGGGTGGGTGTGGTCAGATGGCATCAGTTGACCACAGCACCCAATCTTTCCCGCACAGAAGCGGCTGCTGCCCAGTACTAGGTCAGAGTCTGAGGAGAGAGCAGGATCGCCTCCACACTATCGTTGTCGAAAGAGGCCTCGTTCTGCTGGACAGCGTCATCTGAGACCTTCCTTGAAGGCGCCTTTGGCTGTGTGCACAAGCCCAGCAGGCCCTGTCAGCAAGCAGAGGAAGCAGAAAGCAGGGAGAGGCTTTGTGCTGCCTCCACCTGACACAGACCTTGTGTTTTTACGAGAGGGAACCAGCAGTCCTGTGCAGGTGCCGGGCCCTGCTGCGGCTTCCTCAGAAGCCCCGTTACAGGTAAGGAGCTCATCCTGCCCTTCCCAGCTCAACCCAGCCCCAGGCCATGGAGCTGAGACTAAGTCTGCTGTTATCTTTCCTTGTGCAGGAGGCCCAGTGCTCTGCTTCCAGTTGGGTTATGGCCTTACCCCAGGTGAAACAAGAGAAGACGGATGCTGCAGAGGAGTGGACAGCCGACACAACCTTCTTGCCTTCTTCCACGGTGCAGCCTGGCTTCTCCAGGAAGGTTAGAGCAGTAATGGGTGTCCTATAGGGACCACACAGGTGGTCTGTAAACAAAAGTAAAATGAGCCATAATGGTGGCACTGTAAATAGAGTGATAGATAGGTATGCTATTGATGACTATTCTGTTGAATTATCCAGCATATCTAGCAGGTGCCTTCCTCTTCATAGGCATCTAATTTTGTCTGCTGTATTGCCCAGCTCACAGGAGAGTGGAGATCATTGAGAAACTGGAAAGGTTCATAGGCAGAGAGGTGGCATTTCTTATCAATAAACGTGGAGTCTGTCTGCATAATGGGTTGGCTGATAAGAAATGTACCTCAGGCCATTCCTGTCCTAACTGCTGTCCTTCCTCATTCTCCTAGGTGATAGATGCAGACCTTCCACCTGTGAAACAAGAGCCTCCTGGCCCTGAAGTGGGTAGAGAAGAGAACAGAGAAGATTATGTCTCTGAATCAGCCCCAGCGGAGGAAATAGGAGGGGTTGGCACACCAGTGGTCAGTGCTGGGGGATGCCCCACCCCTGTTCGGACCTTGCCTCTTCTCCTCCTGCTATGCTGACCATGGTGTTAATTCTTCCCTAGATCACGGAGATTTTCAGCCTGGGTGGAACCCGCCTCCGGGATGCAGCAGCTTGGTTGCCAAGGTGTGCCTTATACAGTTAGGTTGGAGATGGGTAATGCTGACCTGGTGATACGGCCAGATGTGGGCCCTGAGTTTGAATCTGTGGTTAGCAGTTTGATTGGGTGCAGAGGGATGTAGGGTCTGCAATCATTACACTACACAACCAGTAAGTGTGTGTGTGTGTGTGTGTGTGTGTGTGTGTGTGTGTGTGTGTGTAGCACTGTAAAGATTGTACCTGAGACCCAGTCCATTGGTGTTTTAGGGCTAGGGCTCCCTTCTTGGGGAAGGAACAAAAGGACTGATATTCCGTGATGAGATCTGAGATAAAGTGAGGCTGGTTCCCACCTCCCTAAGAAAATTCGTTAAGAGTTAGACTTAACATTCTTAGTCAGAAGATCACTGTTTGTGGTCTTGAAGGCCTCTGAAGTCTCTGAGCGTTCACTGTTGGATGAACTGTCCCTGATGATAGGAAGACTGTATCACACAGCTGATGCTGACTTGCCTAAGCAGTGAATTGCTTAGGGGAGAGTCTGTGTGTAGCTTTGTGGTCTCAAGTGTATACCCTGCTTTATAGAGCAGCCTTTGTGGGTAGATTGGTCTGTGCCTCCCAGACCTTTCGTATTGAATTTCAGATGCTGTAGAACTATCCCTGTCTAGTAACAGAAGTGAGTAAAGATGCCATTGTAGTGACGGGAGGAGGACCCCCCCAAAGTTAAAAAACTTGTGGGCCAAGAACCTGATTCCTTTGCTCCCACAAAGCAGTTTTAACAGCTAGAAACCCTGCTAGTGTACCTTGTAGATATCAGATGGAGATGATAAGATCCTATCTACTGTGTGAGTTGGGGCTCCCACTGGTGACTCCACTGAGGCCTGTAAGGCTTACCGCTGAGGAGGAGGGAGATACAGGATCCCTGCCTTCAGGGAGCTTAGGATTTTCCGGAAGATGAAATTATGCCCCTTCACAGAGGAATGTTGTACTGTTTGCATGGCTAGTCTATAGAAGAAAGTAATAGTAAGGTAAATAAGGAGAAAATGATGGATATAGAATAGTAAGAAATCGTTTTATGATCCTGTGTTTTGTACATAGCAAACCTCATTCAACAGACAGACCTGCTCCCTCTTCTCTAGGTCCAAGGACCTTAAAAAACCTGAAGCTAAAATGCAGTAGACTGGAGCCTTCTGCTGACTGACTGTAGGACTGAACTTGATGTTTGCAGACCGGCTTTATGAGAAACAACCCTGAACTTCAGGGGCTGGGCCCCTGGTTGCAGAGCTTGTGTGTGAATCAACCCTAGGAGAAAAACCTACAAAGCACAATCAAGGATCAGGCCTGCTCAGTCCTTGAAGCTTAGAGGAAGCAAGCTGGAAAGGAAGAGAAAAAGTAGAAGGCTGGTAGAACATCTATCTCCTCCAAGGATCTCAATGCAATGAGAAGTTGGATGTAGGGGTAGGGGAAGGATATAGCTGAAGCCACTACAAACAAGTCAAGCAAGCCATCTTCATGATGTTTGTTGGTGGCTTCTGGATGAGACCTGGCAGTATGTTTGAACATTTTCTCAGGGAAACAGCAGTTGGAATGCTACATGAGTAAAGGAGGAAAAGGAACTGCTATTTGGTGAGCTCCTCCTGTGGAGCCGACTCACTTAGCCCTCACAGTAGTCCGTAGGAATACAGTGATATTGTGCACTTTTGCAGGTGGGTAAGTAGACTCAGAAAAGACGAACTTCCCCAGTGTCACACAGCTAGTGTTGGTGGAGTCTAGAAACAGACCCAGGCTATGAAAGCTGTGTTCCCGAAGCTACTAGACTGTTAGCTGTAGTCTCCTGTGCAATAATGTAAATTACAGTAACAGTTTTAGTGACTTTGCAGAGAGCGCTGGATCACTATGAACACTAAGATATCCCTCACATGTTTGCCTCTGCGGTGGTTTAGGGAATGCCCAGGGTGTGGGGAGACAGGGTCACTCGACAGCCTTGGCTGCTGCAGAGGTTTCCTCAGTCCCTGAAGTGTGCTCTTCCCCACTGCAGGCTGACAATGTGCTTGTGCCCAGACGCTCCCATTTCAGGCAGAACAGTGCTTGGAATTAAAGCTGTCAGCTTGGCTCCTCTTCTCCTGGCAGCAGTCTTCTCTCTGATGACCTTTGTGCTTGTTTCCTGCCCTCAGCGCAAATGTTTGTTAGGAGGCTGAATGAATCTATGCACTGTGTCCTGCACCAGGGCCAGTCTTGGCTCAGCCTTACCTCACTTTCCATCTTTAAAATGCCAAAAAAGATACATGCTTTTGTTAGGTAGCCAGCTTTTCAGGGCCAGGACTGAGTGTCCTGTGTGTCCCCACTTGCTTTAGCCTAGTCCCAGCCCTGCTGCTTTAGGACCTTCAAATGTAGACTACTCATTTTTTATTTTTCAAGTCACAAGACACAGCTCTCTGCCACCTTCTACTCTGCCTTTCTTTGCCTAGTTCTGTCCAGGAATCGTATTGCTTTTTAACCCCTAGAATGTACCACTTGTCTCTAGTATTCTGGTCATTCTGACAGTGATGTTCCAAGGGAAATGTCTTTGATTGACATTTGTCTTGTGAATGAAGATTCTGGTTATAATGTGTATTTGAGTAGGGAACAACCAAAAGATTAGAACCACTACAACAAAGAATAGTGTGTGTGTTTTAAGGGAGTTTGGGAAGACATTTTACATGATGTAATTTTGGGAGACAATTTAGTAGCCTTTAAGACTGTTACTTGTATGTAATGCTGGAAGTTAAAGTATTCAGGACAGGCAGTCAGAAGGGAAGGTGGATGGACACATGGGAGCTCATGACCAAGAGTTGGACTTCAAGAAGATGGCCTGGAACCCATGTCAGTGTCCCACTGCCTCCAGTTCCAATGATGTTTGTATCCTGCAGAAGAAGCTAGTGTCCTTCCTCAGAGTCAAGTAGCATCTGGCCTAGGACTAGAGAAGCTGAAGGAAGATCCCAGGGAAGTCATAGCAGCTGAAGGCCTGGCTGTAGGACTTGCTGCTTCCCCGTGCGAAGGTGAGACAGCAGACTAATGGCAGCTTGTATGAACTGCAGCGTACCTGGTGTTCTGCACCAACCTCCCAAGTGTTAAGAACAGCCTGCGGCTGCCTCGATGCTGCTAGCCACAATGTGTGTCCATGTTCTTAACTAGAAGCCTGTGGGGAAGGATTCCAGGAAGCACAGTCTAGTCAAGGTGACATACTAGAAAGCCACCCTACCATGACTGAGCTTCCAGAGACCTCGCCAATCAACCAAGGATAACAGGACAAAACTACATTGCTGAAAATGTAAAGCTGAAGATCATGGATTTCATGATGATCCCAGCAAGTCAAGAAATCCTGTCAAGCTCATCCATAGCAGTCTTGCTGGTCTCAGCTGTATTTTGTCATTCATCCAAGTATTAAAAGCTTGGCCCATAGTTATCACTGTACATAATACCGAGATTCAGAAATGGAATTTTATAAATGCATCAATATATATTACAAGTGATAAAAAGATCTCCAGTCTATTATGGATGTTGATGCTGAAATATAGAATTCAGTATACTATGGAGAGGCCAGTCCTTTGAGTTTTCTTGTTTTGTTTTTGTCTTTTTGAGATAGTATAGAAGTTGGAAATAACTTCATCATTTCTAAGTTCTATTGTAAAATTATTTTAAAACAATTTTTCTTGTTCTATTTAATGGGTTTTATGTTAGTGTTTCTTTGGGGAATGTTTTGTGGTGGTAACATGACATTGTTGACTGCTGTGGGAAGCTGAGATAGTGGGTGGCAAGGCCACTCAGTTCTGTCATTTCCCTAGGCTTCAGTGGGTTGGCTGCAGGCTGAGGTGCTGCGCTCCTCCTATAAGCTCCTCCAGGCCTAGGCCAGAGAAGACCAGTGGGTAGATTCTAAAGCTGCTGCCAGGTACCCTGGGGCAGAGCCTCTTCCAGCAAAGCCTCTTTGTGTATGGAGAAGCTGGTTCTACTCTTCAGAGAATGGTAAAACCGACTAAACCAAGTTAGTGTCCCCAGGCTCATCAGCTGATACCTCTGCGGTGTGAGCTCAAGATGGTACTGTGATGCCTGCAAGCAGATCCCAAACTCACCAAGAGGACAGCTGTGGCTACCCAAGTCTTGGGTGTGGGTGTGGGGCAGCTAGCCCCAATCCCTGGGTCTTTCACAAACCCTACTTAAGGGGTTTCTTCCCTGCAGTAAGAGGGTATTTGTTCTGGGGTGAGGGGAGACCTGCACTTAGAGCAACTCAAACGAAGGAGCTGCCCTTTGGACACTAGGGAACCCAGACATCCTCTTAATTTTTTTTCTTTTTGTTTGTTTCAGGCTACATAAACTATTAGCAGTAAATGAAAATGAGTGTTTTACTGAACTGCAGTTGAAAGAAGAAATATTGTAGGAGAAAAACTATTATTAAGAGAAGAAAGACATTCTTTTGTGACTGAAAAGCTGAACCTGGAATTGAGGAAATGGAATCCAAATCTAGAAATGTATTGTATAGAAAATCTAAACTGGGTGGGTTACAAATAATTAAGCATGCTAATTGGAAGAAAACGACTTTAAGAGGGTATACACACGAGTTGCACTTAGGATCATGAGCTGCGCTTAGAGTCGGTCAGCGACCAGCCTTGTTACCCCCCCTCCCATTCTGTTCTTGTCTCCCTCCCCACATAACAGGGCCACCAAAGTAGGATTCATAACTGACTCCTAAACACTGTAACTCCGCGTTAGTACTAATGGGAACCCCCACTCTGGTTTCCGTGTGTGCTGAAGACCATCTAGTTTACTGGACTGTGTCCCCCTTTTGGCCTAGGATCCTGATTCTCAAGAATTTAGCAGAGGACCTCGGATCTGCAGCCCTGATGTACTCTGACTGCGCCATACTTTATCATGTCCAACCCAGTCAGATAACTGTCTCACCAGTATGTCTAATCTGCCTTCTTCCTATGGTAACCCAAAGTGTATCCCTGGCCTCCTCTGAGTGCGGTAGGAAGATTTTGTTCGCAGACATTACTGGTTGTGTGGCTTGATACAGCACTTCCGTTCCTTGAGCCGTAATCGATTTCAGTGTAAAATACACCTAATGATACCTTCAGTTCCTTCAACTCTGTAAGAATTTTGTCAACCTCGAAGGTTGTTTCTGGAAATACTTTGCAAACTTAAAAAAAAAAAAAAAAAAGAAGGAAAAAAAGCTACTCAAACATCAGGTTGCCATGTGATTATTACCGCCATTAAGATTGACTTCAAGGTGGTACAAAATTTAGCCTTCCTAGTCCACTAACCTCTCTCATGCTTTTAGGTCAGTTACGGACGATACTAGCAAAATCCACTGGATTGTGTTTTGATCTTTTAAGTAGAGGGTTGTTTTTTTTTTTTTAGAGTTTTGTTTTCCCCGTCTGTCTGTTCGGTGAACCCTTGAGAAAGCAAGGTATTTCTACGGGAGGCTGAGCAATCGGTGGGCGGGGTGATGACAGCGGAGTGCTCCTGGGATGGCTTCCGCTTGGCCCGCCCACCTTCACTCTAGCGGCACGGGGGCGGGGTGGCGCACCATGGCAACCAGCTTGTGCGTCTGGAAAGCAAACTGCTGCTGAGCACTGTGGTTCCCATCGCCACCACTCCAAGGAGACTTGAAGATGTACAGCCAGCGGTTTGGCACTGTCACAAGGGAATTCAAGGGCCCTACTCCCAAGGCGGTGATCATAGTAAGTACAGGATGTCTGTGTGGGGAAACTTAGGACCTTTTCCATCTCCTCGTGTAGTCGACCTGTCCGGGTTCCTTCACCTGGGAAGCAGCTTCCTGATGCAGCGAGTTTTGAGGAAGACAAAAGTCCATTGCTCATCTGTCTACCATTCCACCCACCCCTATCCCATCCTTTTCCTCTCCAACCTCCAGCTACAATCACCACTTGGGATCTTGATGGTTCTGTTTTTCCTTCAATATTCCCCAAACGGGAAGATCTGACCCTTGCTATGAGCTCCACAGCTCGTAACCTAAGTGGAAGGGCACTGGGCCAGGAAGCAGTTCCACATTTGTACTGGCTGTGGTTCAACTGTATGACGCTGGATTGATCTTGTAACCCTAGGAAAATAGTCTATAGAAAGAGATTTGGGCTTTGAGTGCTGTGTGTGATGACGGAATATTTCCTGTGCCAGCTAAATGAGTAACTGATGGTGGACAAAAGTACCCCAACAGACTGGAGAGTTAAACCCCAGGATGGGCTGGTGGCCCATGACAAAGCAATTTAACATATGTTGCTAAGAATCCAGGCACTCCTCATCCATGCATATGGGTTCCTTTATTCCTGCAAACTGGTTTCTACAGACCAGAAAGATCTACCACGTGTGTGCTCAGAGTCATGGTGGGAACCTCTCCTGGTGTAGAGCCCTGAAGAACGCACAGAGGGATGTCCAGCGACCCTGCAAGCCTCCTCCTTTGAAAACCCCGTTCATGTGCTGCAGAAACGGCTTCCTCCTAAATGAACCGTTAAGAGTAGATAATAGGGTATGTTCTCTGTGATAGCAGCTTGTGGAAGAAAGATTCAGGCTAATGAAGAATACAGGCATATTACAGATCGTGGTGCAGTTGCCACCTTTCAGCCCGCTTACACACCTCCCTCTTCTCTACACCCAAGAACTACAGAGTCTGACCTGGAAAAAAAGTAGTCTGGAAGCTGCTATGGGCTCTAAGGGCTTAAAATGACTTCACGAGGGACAGAAACAGAACACTTTGGGGTCATGCCTCTCAATGCAGTGCTCAGGATCCAGGCCATTTGTTGGCAACTCTTATTTATGTTCTTAAAACCAATAAGGAATGGGGCAGGGGCGGGGGGATCGCTAAAGCCAAAGCAGGCCTGATGAATACTGTGCTTATAGAAAAAGTAGGAGGCAAAAAAAGCCAAAGTTGGTTCTCCTCAGGTGTCTAGGTGAGAGGTAACAGAATTGGTGGTGCTTGGACCCAAAGAAATTCCTTCAGAGAAAGCAATAAAACAAAAACAGTGATATGAACAGCCATTAGCAGATTTCTTTTTTGTCATTTGACAGATGAGAAAGCCTGGACTTGAGGCTTGGATAACTTGTTCAACAGTGACAAGAATCAAACCTGGATGAAGTCTGTTCGAATGTAGAATATGGGATATGACAGTAGCACAGTCCTTCCTTGATCTTCACAAATCCTAGCATCCATGTCCATTACTGTAGTTGCTAGCCATACATGACTGACTTCTAGGAATGTGTTGAAAATACTTAGAGTCACATAATAAAAAGATAATATTCTGGACATATTGGATAAATGAAATATATTACCAAAATTAATTTCCTATTTTCACTTAACTAATACCATTTCTAGGAAAACTTAAATTGCATATCTATTTTGTATTATATTTCTATTGAACGGTGTGGATTTTGGTTAGTGACAAGCCTCTTTCTGGATTGGCATTTCCTTTTTTCTTTTCAGATAACTCAAGGTCACACCTTCTTATCCAGAGCCCAAGAACTTAGCTGGGGCATGGTGACATAAGCATATTACTACAGCATTTGGGATGTAGAGACATGATCAGTTAAAGAGAGAGTCTGAAGCCAGCCTGAGCTACAGTGACACTGTGTCTCAATTCCCCAAGGTTTAAAGGCTTTTAGGTCTAGCGTCCACTCATGATGTTTCTCACCAACTCTTAGCCTTGTTCCTCTTTTTAGTCAAAGTCTACCTCAGATTTTGATTCCAGTTCTCACAACTGGTGACAATTGCATCTAGCTGGCCTTTGTGTTTCCTCTTTTCAGCCCATATGTCTACCAGAACCTGAGTTCTTGTTGTGTCTTCTGCCCAAGTGACCCTACTCTACCTCCCTGTCACAGAATCTGTATTCGTAAGATACCAGGAATGTTAGAGAATAGTAATTTAATGAAGTGGTTTTGACATGGATTTGTTTCTCATGATACACTTTCTACTCTCATCTTGGGGTCTGCTTTCCATTCCATCCTGTCAGCTGCATCTAGCTGCCTCTCTGTATACCCCAAGCCCTGAAACATTTCATCAGTTTATTTTTGGATGCTTTATTTTTTATTTATTTTTATTTTTGTCCCCCCCCCTCCCTTGAATGGTTTCTGAAGAGGAATGCCATCTGTAGCGGTCTTTTTTAAAACTCTACTTTATTTGGGGTGTTTGGGCCTCTACCTCGCTTCCACTACCCCCCCAACCTTAAGTAGGCAAGAGAAAAGGTTAGTGGGGAGAGGGGGCCGACATCCCTTTACTTTCCCCAGTTATCTAGGGTCAAGGGGTTCTTTTAGGGCTCTAGACCAATCTCTGTCAACCGCAGGCACAGCTAACAGGCTCCTCCACACCGTTGCGACCCAAAGCGTCTCTCCGTCTGTCTTCTAACTGTCACACCGTCTCTGCTCTCTCCAAACTGCTCCATGCCAGACCCCAACTTTGAACATCACACTGAACACGACACCTTCTCTTTCTCGGACTCATATTTATACTGTCAGAGTCCTAGACCGCACCCCTCTCTAGAAGGCTGTTACTAACTGGCAAAAGACACACTCCACATGTGACCATTAACAGCTATGGACAAACTGTAGCCCAGCTAAAATTCCACACTTAGGATGAAAACAAAAGCATATTTACATAGCATACACAGAAACCAAAACTTCCATCACAGATTACTACAAATACCAACCCCCAGTACCTGGTAACTGTTCAAAATGTAATTCAGCAGAATGAATCTGCCCTGTGCCTTAAGGGTTTGTTACTATGAATGAGAGAGTGGCATGGGCCCTCTCTCCCCACTCACATGCCACAACTCACCTAGGATGACTGGTTAAGACCACTGCTGAAAACACAAAGGCCAAGACTTGGTTTCTTGGTGGCACCAGACAGACACGGGATCATCAAGACTACCCAGAAACACTTGTTCTCTCATTCATGATGAGAAGCTAACTGTAGAAGGCTCACTGCCGGTAATACAGACATGATAAAGATATAGTTAATGAGATTTCATTTAGTGTGTTGATACACACAAAATGTGCATGCAAACTCTTCTAACTTTTGAGTGGCCATTGTGAAAAAAAAAATTAAAGAAACTGAAACTATCCCAAAATGTCAGTAGCATAGGCCTTGCATTCAAACTTTAAGATACAAATCAAATTAGAATAAAGTTCTAGTAGCAGTCCCTCTCTCATCCTCCTCCTTCCTTTTTTCCTCCTTGCTGTTTCACTGTCACAGTTTAGCATGTGTACATTTCAGCAGCAGCCCCCTCTTCTTTTAAATGGAAGCATTTGATGCTAATAACTGGTTAGAAGCAATGTGGGGACAGTAGGTCACAGGAGCAGGTTTGAGAAAGCCTGGGCCTTACTCTCCAGGTCTAGCTATTTGAAGTGCTTTGAGCATAGTGTGCACAACTCTGGTTGATTAAATAACTTCTAGAACCCTACCTGTTCAAGGATGTGTTTGTTTATATTGTCTTTTTTTGAGAGTTTCCAGTTTCTTGTGGGTTTTGCTTGTATTCACCCCAACTCTTCCCATATCCATCCCTCATTCCACACCCAACCAACTTGTATCTTTTTTAACCCTTCAAGACCAATTTGTGCTGCCCCAATATTCTTGGATGCGTGGAGTATGTTCAGCTTATCAGGAGATACACCCTTAGAGAAAACTCTCACTTCTGTCTCAGCATCTAGCAGTTGTTGTCATTCATTCTGTAGCTAGTGGTGGGCCTGTATGCCCTCTTTAGGTTGGGATTTGGTGTGTCTTGGGCTTACATAGGTTTTCTTCAAGCTGTTGCCTCACTGTGAGTTCATATGTGCATATATGTCTGGAAGATGTTTTCTTGGCATCTACTGTTGCTAGTGCTTACACTCTTTCTGTCCTCTCTTCGGCAATGATCCCTGAGTTTTGGAAGTGAGGGCAGGGCTGGCGGCACAATATATATGTTTCCTTTTGCACTGAGCATTCTGTAGTCTCTTATTTTATGCACTTTGGCCAGTTGTGGGTGTCTGTGATAATCTCCATCTGCTGCACATAAAAGCTTCTCATGAGGTTTGGGTGATATATCGACTTAGTGGAAATATGCAGAAAGGGGTGCAAAAAAACTTTAATATTTAACTTTAATAATTATATCTACCTTTAGTCAAAAGCACTTTTTAAGAAAAATAGATTATAACTCATTATTTGACTTATTTTTTTATGATGGTGCAAAAGTGATAGGCATTCATGGGTAGCACTTTAAAATGTGAACTTGGAGTTCTTCCTGGACTAGCAATATACTGTAAGGTTACTCTCAAGGTCTTGGGCAGGACAAAGAAACGTGAGTGTTATGTGTGTTCATCACTTTGTCTGTTCCTCAATTAGATGTCACTTTCAAACATGGCTGCTCCTTCTATAAACTAACTTTACTTTCACTGTTTGGGATTAAAGGTGTGTACTAAGGGCCTGTCTGTATTCCAGCCAAATTTTATGCTAATCCCAGAGCATTCCTTTCTCTATCTATCCCTATGCCTGGAAGCTTCTAGCCCTTACACAATCTAATCTTCCAAGCTAACACAGGCCCAGAATGTTTCTGTTAGGGTCCTGGAATAGCCACACAAACCACTTTGACACTGATCTTAGTCAGATATGGGTAGTTTACTGAATACATACCTCAAGACTGATCGATCAGGGATGTAGCCCAGACTATTGAGACTGTTGCCTGGAATGCTTTCCAAAGTCAGTTTATAAAGGTAAAAACCATACTTGCTCATATGTAGGGTTGGAAAGCATTACAGATAGTTGGCTCTGACTCAAGTTATTTTTGCCAACTGGACAAAACAGTTCTAGCTGATGTTTAATTTGGTTGGTCCTACATGAGCCTGGCAGTTAGGGCCAGCTGTGTTTATAGTTGGGAGATTTCCAGGAATAAAAAGGGTATGCTGAGAATAACAAACCCACTGAATATAAAGAGTTTGTGGTCAGCCTGACCTTATATATAGAGATTTTTCTATCTCAGCAGCTATCCCTGGTGGCTCTGAAACAAAAATGGTCACAGTTATGCTAATGAGAGGGGTAAGAACAGTGGGTCTTAACAGTTTTAGCCTCTGAGACTTACTGATGAATAATCTCACCTTTCTAGCCCCTTTATAGCTCGTTCTGAAATCTGGATGGCTGGTTCAACTTAGTTTGTTCTGGCTCAAACTCTTCTCTAAGCTGACTGATTCAAACTGGCTCCTCTCTGTTTCTCCTGAATTGCTGTGTTTCTGAACTCCACAAACTCAACTGAACTGCACCGAACTGCCTGAACAGTACTGTACTGAAGTCAGCTCTACTGTGCTGTCTTATCTACTGAACTCTCTATTGTACTATTGAAAGACCCCATATCACCCTGAGTCAAACAGAGTTAAACATAGCTA